TATACTTTCATCACAAATGGTCTAACACTTACAGAAAAAGAAGAAACTCATGAAACAGCAACTAGCCCATTCTTGCCTTGAAACATTTCTGTCATTTCTTACATCTATTAGGTACTGCAAATTTTCTATTGGCATGTATTTTGTAAAATGAACGCGGGACTTAAGATGCTCTTGATATCTTCATAAAAAGTACGGTACCTAATAAGTGTTGCCTTATCTTCCTAAAGCTAATATTATTGATTAAAATCTTTCTGGAACAAATCTCTGTAGGAACTGCTTTGTATTCACTATAACATACTCAATTTGCCCTTTTGCTCTAATCTTTACAATTGGCTGGACTTTCGTAGGGCAACTGAAAGACTTGAAAATCTGGAGCTTCGTACAGCTGAGAACCTTTGTTGAGAATGTGATTTATAAACTTGTGATAACACGTTTAGGATGCTAGACAATATTAATCAGAGAGTCCACGTTATTTCAGACGTTGTTACATGATCTATGCTTGAAGTTCTCTCTTCGCCGGGTGAACTTGTCTCTTTGAATTTTTTTCTCTTGTTTCCATGACTTTCAAACAGATTTTGCTCACAGCCCGAGACTGAGCCATTGTGTTGCTAAAAATGGGTCCTACGTTAGGAAGTACTGGCAAATTTCTTAGTTATCACGTGATTCTTAAACGATAAAACGAGAATGTTATGTCATAGAGTAGAAAAGTATGTCAAACAAGTAAGGAAGGGCTAAGTTCGGATGTAACCGAACATTTTATACTCTCGCAAAGTCAAATGGTATACTCGTTTGAGATTTCTTTGTGGATTGGCTGATATTTTTGGTAGAAGGTCAACTATAGGCACTGGGGTCCACATATTTAGTACTTAGGGGCTTGAACAGTTTTGGTTCGATTTAGACAATTTTTGGTCACAAGGTGGCATACTTTAAACGTATTATTCACGCAAGGTTTTATCCCGATATAATCATTGTTGCTTGATATGCATAGTGGAAAGTGAAAGAATCAGATGGAATTTAAAATGGGGTTATATGGGAAGTAGGCATGGTTGTAGTCCGATTTCGCCCCTTTTCGCACTATAACATAGAAATATGAGAAGAATGTTATGTACTGAATTTGGTTGAAATCGGTTAAGCAGATCTCAAGATATGGGTTTTCACCTAAAAGTGGGCTGTGCCACGCCCACTGTCTAATTTTGAACGCGGTTCCTATAAAGTCATCTCATACATCCCAGAGATAAAATTGAATGTCTCTGGCGTGTTGAGTGCTTGATTTATCGCGCTTTTAGTAGTTTCTAACAGTACCGTTATATGGGGAGTGGGCGGAGTTGCCACCCGATTTCAACTATTTTCACACTGTGGGTATTTTCACATCGTCTCACGGTACCCAGAAACATGTCTACCAAATTTCATAAAGATATCTCAATTTTTACTCAAGTTACAGCTTGCACGGACGGACAGACAGTCACCCGGATTTCAACTCGTGTCTTCATCCTGATCATTTATATATATTATATATAACCCTATATCTAACTCGATTAGTTTTAGGTGATACAAGCAACCGTTAGGTGAACAAAACTATTATACTCTGTAGCAACAGGTTGCGAGAGTATAAAAATCAAATTCAAGTTCAAAGCTTGCAATTTGACCAACGCTAGGGAACGGGAAGTGTTTGGGACAAAATATCGAAATACTCATGTGTTCGGTAGCTGTCCATGCAATAAAGTTACAATCTAATTTTTTTTCAAAAACTAGAGAAAACGGTAGACAGTAATACTGACCGAACTACTACCGAAAGCCTCGAAAAGACCATATTCTGTACAGGGACTTATATAATATAGTGTATACTGCCTATGTTTATGATAATTGTATGATAATTTTAGCTCAACTAAATTAAGTGATTTTTGTTTGAGTTGTCGCCATTGGAAAAACGTCCATAAATTTCCTATTACAAATACAACTGTAATTTGAGAAGTACGTAATCACTATACCTATTACTATGTAAACATATAGCGCCTTGGTGTGCTAATTTCTTTAGTGATCAAATCAGAAATGTTTTATTTTCCTTATTTATTAACGGCACGTTGCTGCCTAACGATGTTTGCTTTTAGTTTGTTTTTTTTTTACGGGAAAGCGCTATTTACAACTTTTACTGCTCTACATAAAAATTATTCGGAAAATTTGGTATTAAGGCTTTAAAATTATACCAGATTTTGTCTAAGATGCTATTATCTATAAAACACAGTTTTTGTTAACGAATTCATTTTATGAGAAAATTCGTTTATTTAGTTTGTTCTTGACCTAATTTTAGACAAGGCGAAATCTGAATTAATACACTCTACTCCTACTCCTACTTACAAGGTGCGTACCAAGGTAAACAGGACTTTAAAAAAAAGACAGAACAAATTTTTTTATCGGCAAAATCAATTAATTTTATTCAAAATAGTCTCCTTCTGCTTTAATACAGCTTTTTGCACGGTCCAAAAGCATGTCGAACGAGTGTTTTAGCTCGTTGGCCGGTATGGCCGCCAGTATGCCGGTGCAAGCCTTTTGAATGGCCTCCACGTCTGCATAACGCTTTCCTTTTATCAGCAAATGCATTTTTCCGTAAAGGTAGAAGTCGCACGGTGCCATATCAGGTGAATACGGGGAGTGGTTGATTGTTAAAAAGTGATTTTTGGTCAAATAATCGGCCACAAGCATCGATCGATGAGACGGCGCATTATCGTTCAACAAACGCCAACTTCCATCTTCGCGATATTCGGGCGCACCAAACGCTTCACTTCAAAACTCCAAGGTAGAATACCGCATTAACGTTTTGGAGATGTTCAATTCTATTTCCATGAATTTCAATGATGATTTCGGCTAATGTTTTATGAATTCACGCACAGTTTCAATGGAATTTTCGGTGATCACGGATTTTTGTTGGCCCACATGTTCATCGTCATTTATGTCCTCACGACCACTTTGAAAACGTTGAAACCACTCGTGCACTCTGCTACGGGATAGGCAATCATCGCCATAAACTTGTTTCATCAATTGAAACGTTTCGATAAAAGTTTTACCAATTTTAAAACAAAATTTAATGTTGACTCTTTGTTCGAAGCTTATTTTCGCACCGATGACAAAAACATACTGACACCTAAAACGCAATAACTTCACTTCCAATAGACATTTCATCTATTGAATGAAATTTTTACTGGAAGTCGATAAAGGATAGCAGATTCTAACGCACTAGTCGACATATAGATGGCGCCACTAGAGTTTACTTTGTTACTTTTTACTGTTTACTTTGGAACGCACCTTGTATAAATAGGTTAGGGCTCTAAGGCGTTTTTAGTTTCTTTTTCGAACGTCTTAATGTTACTGTAACCGATCATGAGTCTACTTACCACATGCTAGGCAAATAATAAAGATTTTGTCAAGCTCGCTCCACCTTCAGTTTGACAGTTTAAAGATTAAATTTACCTTTGCACTTCTGAGATTCCAATTATTTTCAGGCCCAGTTCCATGTTTCATTCGGATTTCTTAGAATCTAATTAGAATAGACTATGTTCGGGAATTATTTGGGTTCTTCAGAACAACGTTTGCGATTTTTTGGTTTTTATCATTGCAAAACAAGCTCCGACTTCTTAAGAAATTCTGGGGAATATATCGATAAAGGAACGTGGTTTAAATAAATGTTTACCCTATAAGCCTTAACTAACTGCTTTTCTATTACACTTTTTTATCATAAAATTTAGATGTACCCTGCATCGTCCATGTACCCACCATGTAGCAATTCCTAGAGACTCTGAAAAACTGCGATAAAAACTAAAAAAAAAAATGTGAGGTAACTTCCGAAGCAAGAAATAAGTCTCAGGCTACTAGACTTCTTGAGTAGGCTTCTCCGACATATTTCGTCTTCCAGAAATGCTCTGACATGATTAAAATTTCGCTGGTTTCCAAAGACCCCATTTTCGTACAATACACATTTGTACAACTTGTCAGCCCAGATCGCCTGTTAAGCTTAAAGCTCTAAACCAGTCATGAAAAATGTAAAAATCAATCCTTCCGGCGGTTCTTTAAAAGCAAAATTTCCATTTCACTGCCGGCAATGATTTGATAATGTTCGTGATCACACTCCCAAGCTTAGTTAATTGTCATCAAATGAAACTCAATTTCGCCGCAAATGTCAACTGAACTGTAATTAAAGCAGAAATGTGAAATAAACGAAGCACAAACAAACAAACATCATTCAAATGCAACTCTGTAAGCCAAACAAAGCAAAAACAAAATTATAAAAACCTAACCTTTCGGACGGCACTCAATCAGCATAGTTGCACTCAACCTCGCACGCTTTCCACCAGCAAATGTACCGGTCTACCTTTGTTGTTGTTGTTGTTGCTGTTGCATAGAAAAAGCTGGATTGTGAAAATGTGGCAAAATCGCAAACATTTTTGCTGAGTTTGCATACAACTGTCGGCATCGTTGTTGTTGTGACAAATGCACTTTCTAGATTGCACTTTTGCAACCGTCAGCCAGCCAGACAGACAGCCGGGACCGACATACTTGCTAAGCCTAGGGGGTAAATGGGGGACGTGGAAGGTGCCACAAACAGGTGAACAGGTAGTCAAGCTGTGGCAACTTTGAAGTGCTGCTGGCATGTGGCACGTATGCAGTGTCTATTTTTCCGACCGCCACTTGGTCGGTCTGTTTTCTATGTGCGTATTCATTGTTGTTGTTGTCAATGTCAACAAGTATTCGTATAATTGGCACTCAGTAATCTCCACTGTTGCTATTTCGTGGTTGCAACTGCAATGCGCCCCACTGATTTTGATTTGTCTCCAGTTTCTCATGCTTGCGTTGCAAGTCGCGGCGACAGGCGCAACGCACTGCCATGCGTATCTTTTGAAATGAATTTTCTTGAATTTATAGTGCTACAAAAATTTAAGATTTAAGGCTTATTTTTGAGGTTAAACTTTTTATAACATGGTAATAATTATTACTCTTCTCTCTTTCAGGGTTTCGAAATTTTGAATGAATGCAATTTTGGTAAGCTTAATTTATAACATATTATCTTATAGTCATAAACTATCTACTGGGTATACTCGAAATTTTCCTGGAATGTGCTGAATGCAGTCCAGCATGTCTGACTATAGTTATCTTTTAAAATTAGTCTTAACAGTACGCTTTCTACAAAGTTTTCTACTTAATTATTATAGTGCCCGGTCGAGGTGATCTTTAGTTACTACGGCGATCATCTTTTTATAAGCTCAAACCGCGTTCCTCGGAAAGACTATAAAGTCACAACTAGTTAAATGTATACCAGATTTAGATTTCTGAAATATAATTCGAGACTGGGATTGAATTCAAGTTAAGTCCGCTGGTGGTAGGCACCGCTATACCTTACATTATGACGAGCTCAGGTCCCAAACTAAAGAGGGAATACAAAATATTGGCAATCTCGGAGCACCAGATGTTATGTGGAAGTTATTAAGGGATTTTAGATACATATCTCCTTCTTGCAAATATTTGTGGTAAATAGCTGGAACAAGAGATGAAGAAACCCCATATTTAGTTAATTCGAGTCATGAGTCGTGCAGGATAAGTTCTTTAAATAGACCTTTTTACATTTTATTAAACAGGGTATAATTTTTATCTTTGTATATTTCCACAATGTTAAATTTTTGACTATACCGTCGTTCCTCACACTTTTAGATAAAAATTGCCTTTGTGATTTTAAAAATGTATTAACAATGCCTCTACCCCGTCTCAAGCATCAAACAATTTGGGAAGTCTCCTCTGTAAACAAAATGAGCCATGGAATACTATACAACGATAATGGTGTTTGGCACTGTAATTACTTACACTGAAGTTATATAACAAAAGCAAACATCCTTCTTTTTCTCTTTACTAAAATGGACAACAACGTCTAAATACTTAAGTCGTTACAGAGGTCAAAAATATGTACATTAAAAAAATATACACGAACTTCTTAAAACTTTCCTTTAATCCTTTGCCCCCAATTAAATTTGTTCGCCAAGTCTATCTGAAAAGGAGGTGAGTAGAGGACCGTTAAGTGTGTTAAGATGCGCTCTTCTTGCGCCTAGGGATGGATGTCATTAGCAACGCCTGCCTTTTGTTTCTTGGCAAGTAAAATAACTAAAGTATTGCACTTATAAAATATTAGATTTCACATGGCTCATAAGAGCTCACCGTAGAACAAGTGTTTGTGGTTTGTAACTGTTAAAAAGGAGTAAAGGGATAAACGAAAGCAAGTAGTACCTTAAAGGAAATTTAAATCCATGGCGATAGGTATACAGGTTGATTGAAAAAATTATGCGCTCGAAATAAAAAATACTATTTTTGGTACGAATATATTTTTTTATTCAATATAACATCCCTTAACATCAATATACTTGTTCCAATGATCCTCCAATAATTTTATACCATAATGACTTTCCGGAAGCTTTGCAAAATTCCCATCTACGGCTGTAATAGCTTCTTAATTCGACGAAAAACGCTTTCCACGAAGAAATTTTTTCAGGTTTCTGAAGAGGTAGTAGTCGCTGGGAGCCAAAGCTGGTGAATACGATGGATGCTCACTTTACTTTACTGTACTTTAATTCGTTGAACTTTGTCATTGTTAAAACACCTTTTTGAGCAGGTGCATTGTCTTGTTGAAAAATGATTTTTTTGTGTTGCAAACCAGGTCTTTTTCACGAATTTTTTATTCAGCCAAAAGGCTGCAATAATATTCAAAGTTGATTGTTTTACCTTTCTGCAGATAATCAATCAAAAAATTCCCTTTGAATCCCAAACAACTGATGCCATAACCTTCTTTGCTGATCAATGTGACTTCACCTGCTTTGGAGCTGAACAACCAGCTTCAGTCCCCTGTTAACGTTCTTGTTTCAATTTACGATTATGGTGATAGATCCAAGTCTCATTCATAGTTACAAAACGACGCAATACGCAAATCGGTTTTATTCAGCTTAAAACGTACCAAATTATGCTGAGAAATTTGTTTAGATCCAGTTTTTGTTGAATTGTTAACGTGTGCGCCATTAACTTTCGAAAAAGCTTTTTCATATGTTATTCTCCTTGTAAAATATAATATTAACTACTCGTTCATCTGAGATATCTATGGTATTAGCAATTTCACCTCAAATTAGATCTTCACTAACAATATTATGAACTTGCTCAATGATAATATCTGGTGTGGTTGAGGTTTTTCGTCGGCCTTCGCGTAGATTGTGTTCAAGCCTAAGCCGGTTGTTCATAAATTTCGTTTGCTTTTAAGCCTTTCAAAAAGAATCTAATCACTGCGCGATATTTAATTTTTTTCATATGCAAAAAATATTCTGACAAGTCAACTACAAATGGCTTGTGAACAAAGACATAATTGACAGAATGAGAAACCTGAGGTCAGTGGTCTTCTTGAGCAGCAAATGACTTGTGCAAAATTTCAGATCCATATCTCAAAAACTGAGAGACTAGCTTGAGTATATAGAGACAGTCGGACATAGCTCATTATGCTGAATATTTATGTATATATTTTATAGGGTCTCCGACGTCTCCTTGTGGGTATTACGTAACATAATATGTTCTGTTTAGGGTATAAAAACAAATGTATCAATTTAAAAATTGAAGGGTAGATTTTACGAATAAACAATACAATTTTTGAATGTAAACAATTAAATAATTTTCAAACTTTTTTGAAAAAATGTCCTCCTTTGTTACAGTGATTCCGGTTTTCCCCTTGAATGAAACTTCAAATGTATGCTAGATGATATTGTCCAGTGACCTAAGGTCGAAAGAAATAAAAAATTGACAAAATGACGTTGTTTAAAAAAAAAAAATGTTCCTTTTTGTTTTTTTTGGCATGCTAAAATTCGATTTTTGATCAGATAAAAAAACTATATAAAGAGCATGCGAGTAATCACACGAGCAAATTCCTTAAAATCTGTATAAGAGAAAAATTAGTTTAATGAAGTTGATTCAACAGAGTGGTTGCATTTTAAAAAGCTGTAACTCAAAAGCTATCTCAGATATAATTTTAAAATTTTAGTATGTTATTTTTATACTCTCGCAACCTGTTGCTACAGAGTATAATAGTTTTGTTCACCTAACGGTTGTTTGTATCACCTAAAACTAATCGAGTTAGATATAAGGTTATATATATAATATATAAATGATCAGGATGAAGAGACGAGTTGAAATCCGGGTGACTGTCTGTCCGTCCGTCTGTGCAAAACGCCATTAATCAAAAACAAATAAGTTGTCATTATTAAGCTCCACTATAAGATACAAGACTGTGATTTGGTATACAAGATCACATTAGGGAAGGGCTTCTGCAGGTTAAATTTTTTTAAAAAGTGGGCGTGGTCCCGCCCCTAATAGGTTTAATATGCATATCTACTAAACCGCTAATGCTATAATAACAAAATTCTCTGGAAGCAAATGTTTTTAGAACTTCTACCTATATTGTGAAAATAATTGAAGTCGGGTGGCAACTCCGCCCACTCCCCATATAACGGTAATGTTAAAAACTACTAAAAGCGCGATAAATCAAGCTCTAAACACGCCAGAGACATTCAATTTTATCTCTGGGATGGTATGATATGACTTTATAGAAACCGCGTTCAAAATTAGACAGTGGGCGTGGCACCGCCCACTGTTAGTGGAAACCCATATCTTGGGATCTGCTTAACCGATTTCAACCAAATTCGGTACATAACATTCTTCTCATATTTCTATGTTATAGTGCGAAAATGAGCGAAATCGGACTAAAACCATGCCTACTTCCCATATAACACCATTTTCAATTCCATCTGATTCTTTCACTTTCCACTATGCATATCAAGCAACAATGATTATATCGGGGTAAAACTTTGCGTGAATAATTCGTTTAAAGTATGCCACCTTGTGACCAAAAATTGTCTAAATCGAACCAAAACTGTTCAAGCCCCTAAGTACTAAATATGTGGACCCCAGTGCCTATAGTTGACGAGTATACCATTTGACTTTGCGAGAGTATAAAATGTTCGGTTAGCCCTTCCTTACTTGTTAATGTTAGAATTATTTAAAACAAAAAATTGATTTTTTTTAAGTTTATCACCAGCTGTGACCCTCAATGGTGTCAGCCGATATCACGTCTTTCTCTTTTAACCGTGGGGATTACACTTAACTGATGATGATGTTTTAAGTTAATAAGCAAAGTTCCTTCTCCTGAACTGCAAATGTTAAGAAAAGTAAGAATCGTATCGCGAAAAGACCATTTAGTTGAAAATGAACAAAAGGACAGTTCATGAGAAGACGGAAATATTTCAGTTGCTTAATATAGTTTTAACTGGTCTTGAAACAATTTTAGAGCACATGATAAAAGAAAATAATACATCTTAGAGTTTATGACATATATGTAGGTAAGATTGAGTAACCTCTTTTTTCTGCCTAAAGTTTTGTCAGCATACATTTTCGACCAAACCAATATTCATCTTTTATATTTAATTTGGGTAATTTTAACAGTTTTTTTATATTTTCGCCATAGCTTTAATTACCTTATAATCTGGTTACGCAATAAATGCGTGGCCTAGAAAATCTTAAAAATTATGATAATTTCTACGCACAAGATCTTAATCAAAAGATACGCATATAAATTAATAAAGCTGCAATTTTATCACTCAAATTTCTACGACCTTGAGACATTGAGTATTTATGTATACAGTTACATTTTGGCTTTCAGCACTCTGCAGCTTAAAAAAATTGGCCACAGCAGCTCATATGCAAATTTTTGCAATAAAAATGCAAATCGCAATAAACGCTTCCATATTTAAGGGTTAAGCAGACCCAAAATACACAAAAAAAAAAAACACTAAAGTAGTTTGCATTGGATAATCCTCCTGTTACAGCTCTAACGGGTAAGCATGTGTTTTTGTTGTTGTTGTCGCGTCCTTATTGCCTCAATTTATGCGTTTATTTGCTTTTCTGGGCTTTTTGCATTTCAGCGAGTTTCAGTTAAATACAAGTAGGTGTCGTGTGCCAAAAGTTTT